ATGACCCAACTCCATAGTCTAAAAAAATTGACATAATATAAATAATATAAGATGCAATAATTGTAAATAATAATTTATAACATAATGAATAATAAGATTTATCATTTGTGTAGTGTATTCAATTAGTGATATAAAACCCTCTATATATCTAGATAGGCTAGCACCAATATCACCTATCTTGATGGTTCCAAGTTGCTCGTATAGAATGGGCACAAAGCTTAGGTGTGGCCCATTTTTGTCACCATCCATCCCACACCTGTTCTAGGATAGACTTGAGTTTGGTCCCCTTCTTCTTTCTATCGGTCAACATGTTAGCATAATACTTACGTGCTTAATGCTCCCATACTATCTTAACTAGTGCATCCTCCCATATAAAGTATTTCTATAAGAAGGAAAAAATTAATATCGGTACATTTCATATTAGATTTACTGAAATAATTTAAATCTAATACAAATAAATAATTAATATGCTATTTTAAACTCATTTAAATAGAAATCTTCTGTCTCTTAAGAGTCCGAATTCTATGTTGAGATTGGAGGAGTCCAATTGCTCTCTAAAAATAATAGTGATTCGTTGAGAACATTGACTTAATGGATAAAAAGTATCAAACACAACAAATAAAAAAAAAAACAACAATTGTATTTATGAACAAATAATTATACTAAAATGTAAAAGTAATTACCAACTCGTAAAGTAAAGACAAATACTATTTGTAACTATGAGTATAATACTTACATGTTATTAACGACATCAATGGTCCGGTTAGCATTAGACCTATAAGTGTCTGTCTGGAGTAAAAGAAACCATCAAAGGAATTTTGACCCTTACGATGATTACAAGGATACTTTATCTTACTTTCGTCTATATTTTCAAGATATATTTTTAGGATGACTAATAGTAAATGCAATAAATTCTTTCATCCTATTTATAAAATCTTGATTTAAAATCCATTCGACAAGCCTAAAATCTATACATGCATGATCCGACTTCATTTTTTTCTTCATTATATCCAAGCCAACATACAATTACTTAATTACCATTTTTTAAATGGCTTATTGTATCATAAAATTACAAACTTAACACCTTTTAAATATTTTATTAAGTTCGTTAAAAGTGGATGAAAAATATATCAATTAAGCTTCCGATAACTATATTAGCATAAAAGTTGTTTTTTGTCTAAAATTCGGAGTTTATATGATGTGGCATGACTGGTATGATGACAAACATGACATAAATTCCATGTAGAATTCCATGTGGATTTTTCCCTAATTCTTCCTTTCACTATAGCAGAATCTTAGGAGAGAGAAACACCTTCGTTTTCATAAAATCTCCTCTTTTTTTTAATCTTTTTGTTTCAAATTTCAAAATCCTTCAAATCCCATATTCCAAATTCAAATTCTCAACAAACCCATTTTAATTTTTCCACTTTAGTTTTTCCTTCGATATATCCGAGCCAAAACACAATTACTTAATTACCATTTTGTTTTCTAAAAATGGCTTATTGAACCATAAAATCACGAATTTAACACCTTTTAGTTATTTTACTATGTTCTTTCAAAAGTAGATGGAAAATAAATAAACTAAGCTTTCGATAACCATATTAACGTAAAAGGTGTTTTCCATCCAAAATTATGAGTTCATATGACATGGCATGATTGGTATGATGACAACATGACCTAAATTTCATATAGAATTCCACATGGATTTTTTTTCCAATTCTTCCTTTTACTATAGCAAAATCTTAGGAGAGAGAAAAACTTTGGTTTTCGTGAAATATCTTCTCTTTTTCAATCTTTCTTGTTTCATATTTCAAAATCTTTCAAATCCCATATTCCAAATTCAAATTATTAGCAAAACCATTTTAGTTTTTTCATTTTTAAAGTAAAATTTCAATTCTTTCTTATCATCATTACATGTTCCTCCGAATTCTTATACACTTGAATTCTCATAAAATCTCTACCAAATCTCATGATCTAATAAGAAAATCCAAGTCAAAATCACATCTATATTTTCTTTTCACTAAAATATAAGAAAATGAAAACAAATCTATCTCGAATGTGCATTTTAGATTTTTTTTTTAAGTTTTTGGTAAATTGGGAAACATTCAATTTACAAAAGAGATTTATTCAAAAAATTTTTAGAAACTCCATCCGTATAAAAAAAATACTCAATTAAATTTCAAATAATATAAATTCAAATTGCTCAATATATTTATTAACAAATAATTACATATATAAAAAGTAGTAACAAATCTAATAGGTAAGAGAAAAATTGAAAAACTTATCCTTTTTGGAGATGGAGGTTGGAGTTAATGGCCGAGCTAGCTGGAGTGGTTGGGACTGCTAGAGTATGGTCGATGGCGGTAGTCCTCGTAGTGAAGGAGACTCTTTTGAGGGAGGAGACAAAAACTATTTTAGAGAAGGAAATGGTTGGAGTACAAAGGAGATTGATTTATGAGGTGGTGTAGGGGTCTTGCAGCTTAGTAGTATGGTTGAAGGAGATGGCGGTGAGGGTTTTATGGGAGAAGGGAGAAGAAAATAGGGAAAGAAGGGGATTTTGTTCAATTTAAGTGTTTTTTAGCAATAGACGTGATCGTATCTCTATTCCATCGTTGGATTCCATTTTTTTTAGCGATGAAAATAAGTGCTTGTCATTATTTGAAGTTTTCAATATTGTGTCAATTTTTCACCTATTAGTGATAGACAATTTTGTCACTAAAATTGGCTTTTTTAGCGATGAAAATATTCTATCGATAGTTGGTGAGAGAATAAAAAGTTTAGCGATGGAAAATTATATCTTTAATGAGAAGGAAAAAGGCTCCAACATTAGCGATGGAAATCGGAATTTGTTGCCAAATGCAATTGCAATTTTGTTGGTAATATATTACTAAAATAATTACCAAAAATTTACCATGTTATTTGACAATGGAAATGTTCCATCGCTGAAATTTTGTTGGTGATTTGTCGGTATTCCATTGTTATCCGTCCTAAATGTCTAAAAGCCGATAACAACCATTACTCCTTCATAAATCTATCACTATATACCGATAACTTATTATTCGTTATTGATTTTAGTAACTATTTAATAGTTTTTTGTAGTGTTAGTGCCCTAATCTACTTGAAAAGACTTAATTGGAAGCCAAAATTTTTTTCAACTACATGTATGAACTTGATAAATGCATCGAGTACTTCGGACTTATATTTAATAAAATAAATCAAAATAAGAATAATAAAAAAACATAATACTTAACACCAAATATAGAATCCATAGAGAATGAACCCCAAACATCAAACAAATTCACTCAAGAGGTGTTTGTGCATTAAATTTAGATTTTTAAAAAAGGTAGTTTTGAACTTTTACTAATACTATAGGTATGACAAAGAGGAGGAAACAATCCAAGTCGAGAATTAGTTGGTCCTAATGATACCAAACCTCATAGGCTAGATTAGGAATATTATTAGTAAGGGTGGAAGAGGGAGGTTCTTTTGTTCCATCGATGTGATGAATAAGATTTTGTCCTCTTAGAAGAGGAAAAATTTGTGTTCGCCAAAGAAGAAAATTTGTGGAATTAAGTTTGATGAGAGATATATGCTTTGTGAAGAAAAAGAAGGTAATCATTGATGAGAAACAATAGCAGTCGAAGATGTTGAAGCAAGGGTTCTTTGTGTGCCTTACGTGTCATACATTTTTTTTCTTTGAAGAATAGGGAAAAAATTATAAATTATTTGTTATTAAGCCTATTATTGCTCTAATACCATGTAGAGGTCTAGAGTTTGAATTAATGACACTCACTTAGTGTTTGTTGAATTATCATGTATAAATAAGTTATCGATACACATTTCAATATACTTGAAGCATGAAAAACTTCTATTCAAAATACAAATATATTAGCTTATCAATATAATCGTTATCCTATCACAAGCACCAAGCATGTTATTTCAAGCGATCCAAATATATTCTATTTAAATTGTTTTGGGCATAGCTCAAATTAATCTCTAAACTATAAACCAATTAATGATCTATGCATTTGTGTTTAAACTATATTGCTTTTCCAAATACGAGTCCTAAAAGTATCATAAATTTTTAAATTGATTATTTTGTTTAAAATCTACCAATTTCTTTTAAAAAAAATTGGTCACCTAGTTGAGAATTGATAAATATTTGACGGGCTTATATGAGATTTGACCAAAATATTTTAAGGGAAAACATTTAATGTCTAAAATATTTTATGCAAAACAAACTCCATGAATAATTAGTTAATTAACTTTACAGCTATGTTATTTAATAAAAAGAAAAATATCTCAATATATCTTTTAATTTGTTTTCAACATATTTGTATATGTTCAATTGTATCTATAATGTTCTTAACTTTTAACCAAATCTTTGAAGTTGTCTTTTTTCTATGAAATAAAATTCAAATTAACTAGAATTATGTAAATAAATCTCACTTGGCTTGAGGATAAGTCTTTTTAACTTTTTATAGCAAATTAACAATCCTTCTACATAGTTTAAAAATACATAAAAAACATTTGTAACAAGGAATAAGGGTTTTTTTTTTAAACAAATGTTTTTGTAATGTATCTAGCTACTTAGTACTTTACACATAAAAAGTAATAAATTATGTTTTCGTGCTACACGTTTATAGTACCATAAGATCGTACTACTTTTCTTTAAAATAAATTTATAGTTTTATATGAATAATTTTTGTAATTTAAATAACACCTCATGATAGAACGTTATCTTTTATGATTTGATTACAACCAAAGAATATAATAGGTATAGTTTAATTTATAGAGATAATGTTAGACAGTTAGAGACAGCCCATAACAAAACAAAAAAGTACCTAGGGCATGATGTGCTATCTTCTGCTGGCTTCAAAGCAGTGTGATTGTCTTGTTCTTAGATGCTGTATAAATCAATATGCCAAGGCATTGTCTCTGGGATCAGTTTTCCATATTGGCAAACCCTTCCCCATACCAAAAAAAAAAAAAAAAAAAAAATGGCAAATATTAGATTGCTCTCTACAAGCATGGTTCAAGCCACTACTAACATGGTGACAGTAGAGAGGTTTGATTTGACTCAATGTGATCTACAATTTCTTCTGCTAGGTGCCATCCAAAAGGGTCTTCTCTTCCTCAAACCCAAATCATCAGAAGATCAAAACTTATTGATCCAACACTTGAAAACCTCACTTTCTCGCACTCTAGATTTCTTCACACCTCTTGCTGGTCGACTAGCCATGGTTGAACATGATGATAACACTGTCTCCTATTTCATTGACTGCAACAATGCAGGAGCCCAGTTTGTTCATGCTGCGGCCGATGGTGTAACAGTGGCTGACATCCTCAAGCCAGTGTATGTTCCTCCAATTGTCCACTCTTTCTTCCCATTAAATGGGGTCTTAAACTACGAGGGTGTTTCCAAACCATTCCTAGCAGTTCAAGTCACTGAACTTGTTGATGGCATCTTCATTGGCTGTACCATGAACCATCTTGTTGTTGACGGCACATCATTTTGGAATTTCTTCAATTCTTGGTCTGAAATCCATCGTGGGTTGGATCACATCTCCGAGCCTCCAGTTCTTGATCGTTGGTCATTTCTCAACAGTAGTACCTGCCTGCCGATCCATCTTCCTCTCTCAATCATCAAAAACAAAACTGTTAGGTTCACTCCACCACCATTGCAAGAAAGAGTTTTTCATTTTACCAAGCAAAAAATTTCAAGGCTAAAAGCAAAAGCCAACGCCGAATCCGCCACCAAGTCGATCTCCTCTCTTCAGTCACTCTTGGCTCATATTTGGAAATCTACAACTAGAAATGGACAAGTAATTGATCTTGACAAAGAGGTTGGTCTAACGGTACTTGTAGGTATAAGGACACGATTACAGACGCCATTACCAGGAGCATATTTTGGAAATGCACTAATGTCTGAGAGAGTAACTCTGAAAGCAAGAGCGATATTGGAGCAACAACTTGGGTATGTAGCTTTGCAGATTAACAAGGCAGTTTCTTCGTACACAGAAGTCAAGGTAAAAGGCATTTTAGAGTCTTTGAAAGAGAATCTTAATCCGAGAACAATGGGCGAACTTGCACGTAATCATTGTTTGTATACCAGCAGTTCACCGAGGTTCAATATTTATGGAACTGACTTTGGTTGGGGAAGGCCCGTTGCAGTACGAAGCGGGCCTGGCAACAAGTTGGATGGGAAGATAACTTTGTTTCCTGGATTTGAAGAAGGCAGTGTGGACATTGAAGTATGTGTTTTGCCTAAGACTTTGAAAGCTATGGAAAATGATTTAGAGTTCATGGATGCTGTCAGCATCTGACTTTGAGCCTTGTTTTCTCTATACTACTTTCTCTTAATCCTGTTTTCAGTAGTAATGAATTTCATGTTCAGCATTTGATTGGGTGGGTGTTTATTATTGATTACGTAGGTAGTAATCATGGTTCTTTTTCTGATGTCTTTTAAAGCATTCAAAAGACACCAATTCCATGTTAAACCTGACATTTACAACATCTAATCCAACGACCATGTCCTCATCGGATATGCCGAAAAACCCTCATCTTCTTAATAATGCAACTGGTGAATAGAATCAATCAACTCTTCCTTATTGGATATGCCAAAAAAACCTTATCTTGTTAATAATGCAACCTCATCTTTTTTTATATTTGTTAATTATATGAAAAAACTCTTGAAAAATATATTTCGACGTTTATTTGATACATAAAACTGAAATACAAAAACGGACTATGATTGTTATATTAACGAGTTTTGTGAGAACTTCAACAAGGCATATTCACAATCTCACAATATAATACGTATTTAGAAAAATTTAATAAATTTTTATAAATACTGACTCTAAAATTTAAATTCAAAAAATTAAAAAATAAAATGTATATTTTTAACGATCAAACCAATTCATCAAAACTACTTAGGATAAAATCAAGCCAATATTCACATATGATAAAAACATTTCTAAGGAATTATAGCATTGTTATTTTAGTAACTCAATTAAGAATTCTTTTTTGGAAATTGAACTGATAATTTAGTCTAAAAAATAATTTTATAAATTATTAGTTATTATTATTTGTAGATAATTAATCATTTGGTTTCAAAAGATTAATTTTGGAACAATTTGAAACCAATTATTAACTACAATTACCAGCAAAATTTTACAATTGATTAAAATTAATCATAAATTATTGATGTAGTTGCAAATGAGTAGTGTTAGAAAAATACTCGTTTATTATTGAATTAATTAGTTTCAAAATTTTCACAAATGATTGCGAGTCTTGTAATAATCATTTTCAATCATTTAAGTATAGTTTATGTGATGTTTGGGATAATGGTAAAAAAAAAAATAGAGATAAATTATTAAAATATTTATTACAAAAATAATTTTAAGGTGTAAAAATGGTTTTTAGGAATATTTATTGTATTTATAAATAAAAAAAATCAAATGTTAGTAGAAATAGAGAAAAAATAATTAATAATAATTGATAAGAAATAATTAAAAATTAATTTAATATATTTTAAATAAAAAATAGATAGATAAAAAAATTATTAAAATATATCGAGATAGAGGTGAGTAACGTGAGAGCAAGACAGCTCGTGAGAGAGAGAAAATGTTTTTCTATTTTTTAACTCGAAAAACACTTTTTCGAATAGCCTATCAAATTTCTAAAAATCAAATTCCGTTGACTTGTTTTTCTAAATGCGAAACAAACATCGGATAATGAAAAAAAAAAAAAAGGGAAAACAAGTTTCTAAAACTTATTTTTCCTGAAACAAACACGACTTTAGAATGATGTAAAAGTAAGTTTCTCGAAGAGTCATATAAATGTAATGTATTAGTGATGTGAGTCTCTAGAGTTATCCTAAACTGCTATAAATATATGTTTAGTAAGATTTATAATTCAAGCCTAAGTCATGTGGCTTCCTCTTTTGAAAGAGTATTAATATATGAGAATCACCATGCTTTCCTCTCTTCTTATATTTTCTAACATGGTATTAGAGCCGATTTGGTCCGATGAGGCGTTTATAGAGAGCATTTAAAATAGTATAGCATGCATGTAAAAAGGAGAAAACTCCAAAAGCAAATGGGCAACGGACCCAAGAGTAAGGGCAGTGTTGTAGCGGACCCAAAGAGAAAGTGGATGGTGAATGAAATCTAAAGAAGAAATGAGATACAAGATGAAGACCTAAAGAGAATTGGGACCTTGAATTAAGAGAGAAATAGAAAAGGCCATAAAAAGGTTGAGTGTAAGTTCTTGCACATGTGATGATGTGGTGCTAGAAAGATCACACATGAAGAAAAGAAAATGGAGGAAAATGGCCAATGAGCCATAATGAAGAAGAGGGTAGCGGCCTAAATGAAGCTAAATTAAGAGTGAGCCAAAACAGAATGGCTACTTGAAAAGCCAAATCTTGACGTAGAGATTTTGGCATAGAATACGACGATAGTTACAAGATGAGAAAAATGGCTAAAAATAGCCATGTTTAAGCAATGACTATTGATGAAGAAAAGAAAATTATCGAGATGGCAATAAAATGTCACTAGCTATTCATGATGATAAAGAATGGCTAATTCGAATATCCTAGCATTTCATAAGATGAAGATGATTACCAATAATGTGGTCGTCTAAAAAAAAAAAAACAAGCAAAACAAAAGGACTAAAATTTTAAAGATGCAAGATATAGATTACTAACACATTTCAAATATCAAGAGTTATCGGACCTTCAAAATCAAGGAGGGGTATTGGAAATAATTTTGAAGTCTAGAATGATGTAAAAGTAAGTTTCTCAAAGAGTCACATAAATGTAATGTATTAATCATGTGAATCTCTACGGTTAGCCTAAACTACTATAAATATATGTTTAGTAAGAGTTGTAATTCAAGTCCAAGTCATGTGGCTTCCTCTCCTCCTATATTTTCTAACAATAACTAGGAAACCTTGCATTAGATAAGAAAAAATGGCAAACATTGAAAATGTGAAATACTTTCACTTGTATGTTCTTTTCTTAAAAAAAAGGAGAATATATATATATATATATATATAGTATTCCCTAAAATAATTATCTTTACTCCCTTCAAGTTGGAGCATGAGATTGAAAATACCCAATTTATCCGAGTAACGGTAAAAACTAATCTTAATCGAAGCCTTGGTGAAGATATCTACCAATTGATATTGAGAAGAAATTGATCATGGTGAAAAAAGCTTAGATTACATATAACATGACAATTAGTCTCAATATGCTTAGTCCGTTCATGAAAGAGCTGGATTAGCTATTCTATGAAGAGTTATTTGATTGTCACAAAACAAAGAGACACGATCGGGATGAGGGATGACTAAATCAGCAAATAGATAATGGAACCAAACAATCTCACTTGTAGTGGTTGTCGTGACTCTATATTTAGCTTCAATCATAGAGTAAGAGATAATAGATTCCGGTTGTCACAAAACAAAGAGACATGATCGGGATGAAGGATGACTAAATCGGAAAATAGGTAACATAATTAAATAATCTCACTTTTAGTGGTTGCCATGGCTCTATATCCAGTTTCAATCGTAGAGCAAGAAACAACAGATTGTTTAGACCTTTAGAAAATCGACGAATGAGCCAAAAAAGATGATGTAATCGATCTTAGAACGTCAAGTGGTTACATAACCGGACCAATCAGCATCACAATAATCACACAAAAAATGAATTATTTAAGGGAAAGAAAATCTCCCGACCATGAGCACCTTTGAGGTAGCAAAGAATGCGATAACTTGTAATAACCTAAAAAAAACAATTCGACCGGTATCAAAGGAGCGATGAATCGCCTCTTTATTCTAGAGTTTTACTCTCTTTTCTCTCCTTCTCTCATGTAATTTCTCTCCCAAAACTTCTAACTTTCTTTTCAATTCCTAAGCTAATCCATTATTCAATTAGCTTATGAAGACCATAAGTAAGAGGATTCAAGTGGAGTTTAGATAGCTTGGAGCTTGGAAAGCTTAAAGAGCTATGAAGAATTTGAGATTTGAAGAGCATAGTGTGAAAGATAAGATATTTGATCCACTGATCTTTGAATTGTGAAGTTTATGTATAATTAATGATGATATTAAATTGAAGTTACTTTGGATTGTAAATTACTTGAGGAGTTGCTTAGATTAAGGTTAGGGTTTTAAGACCCATTTGAGAAAAAATGATTCTAATTGATTATGATGACTTGAATGATGTTTAATTATCTTGGGTAAGTGAAATAACAAGTTAATTTGAAATAGAATTAGATGAATTTGAGATATTGAGAGGTCGAAGATGATGAGTAGTGACAAATTCAAAAATTAGGAAAAAAATAAGGAATTAAGCTATGTAAATGCAATTAGAGGTAAATGGAATAAGTATTAGGTAAATTAGAATTGAATTGATCATTTGATTCAATTAAGGGTTAATTGATTGAGGGTTGATTGTTTAAGAAATGAGTTGAAGATTGGTAATGAGATATGACAATTAAAGGATTATAGAATTTAGTTAGGTTTTTGGTTTGAATCTTTCCAATCAACTCCTTTTTTATTTAATAATCCTGTATTTTAATTTTAGAATAATTCATTGTTAGGATTATTTATTCGTATATAGGTATTGATGGATGATCCATCTTTTTTTAAAGCTAGATTCTTCGAGTGGGTAACTCTATACTAACTGTCTTGATTTCATTCGATTCTTCAACTTGTTCTGTGAGTGGATATTATATAATATGCTTGTGTTTTAATTCTTTTGAATCATGTCTATCATACATCGTTGGATTATGAATGATTTAGAAACATTTCATTAGAACTTAGATGATAATGGACATCTTAAATATTTTAAATGTTTTCATATCAAAATAATTTGATATGAATGAAAAAAGATGTCAATGTGTTATCGAAATTGATATGTGATTTTAAATTTGAATGAACATGATATGTTCATTATTTTGAATATACATGTATTTTTGAAAATGCATGTATTTGAAATATCGATTTGAAATATATATGAGTATGTTTGGTCTTTGAAAATGTTTTTGAGACCACGGGAAATCTATATACCTAAGGGGTAATCCTAGAGCTCAATGATACGAGGTTCCAGCTAGCAAGAGAGTTATAGTTCTAGTTCATGTGTTAGCCAATATTTGGAAACCTAGTCATGAGAGGCGTGGCCTTTGAGTGTTCACACCTAATGATACTTTATTACCCCACAGGTGTATAAAAAGCTATATATGTGTTTTTGTATGAGTATGACATATGTATGTATAAATGTTTTAATGATTTGATACAAAAATGGTTTTGAAACATTTGGATTATG